CCTTGCTTGAAGTGTGTATGTGGATGGGGAAAATGATTTGAGATGCTGACTCTGTGGTCAGTGATAAAATTGATGGCATGTGAAAAATGTAAGGATTTGTGTAGATCAAAACAAGTGTTCAGAAGGGAATTTCCTTCTGCTTTGAAATCACATTTTATGTGGAACTCTAGTTCTGATTTTGACTTGATATTTCGGAGGTCAACCCTTCCATTAAAGTATACTTAACTGATATAGTATATTTAGACTTCAGCAAGGCATTTGACAAAGTAGACCACAACCTACTTCTTGGTAAGCCCTTTCTAAGCGGTATACAGAACCAGCATATTGTCCTCTACATTCTGGGTCTTCATTTTACCAGCCTTGGAAGGATGGAAGGCTAAGTGAACCTTGAGTCAGTGAGACTTGAACTGCCAAACTGCAGTCAGCATAAGTAGCCTGCAGTCCTGCATTCTAACCACTGTGTCACCATGGCTGGATTTGTAGCTGGCTGACAAACTACTTGAGTAGTCCTTAATGGACTGCTTAATGGCCCAGTACTCTTCAATATCTTCATAAATGATTTAGATGAGGGAATAGAAGGGGAACTCATCAAATTTGCAGAGGACACTAAGCTGGCAGGAATAGCCAACACCCCAGAAGACAAGCTCAGGATCCAAAAAGATCTTGACAGACTTGAACAATGGACCCTATCCAACAACATGAAATTTAATGTGGAGAAAAGCAAGGTTTTACACCTAGGCAAGGGTACAACTAGAGATTAGGCGAAACCTGGCTCAAAAACAGTAACTGTGAGAGAGACCTTGGAGTCCTAGTGACCATCGCTTAAACATGAGTCAGTAGTGTGCGGCAGCCGCCAAAAAAGTTAATAGAATCCTTGGCTGTATAAACAGGCATAGAATCAAAATCATGTGAAGTATTAGTACTGCTGTATAAAGCCTTAGTACAGTCGTGGCGAACCTATGGCACGGGTGCCAGAGGCGGCACTCAGAGCCCTCTCTGTGGGCACGCGTGCCGACGCCCCACTCCTAGGCCTTCAGTTGGGTTTCATAAAACCTTTTCGCTTTAGGCCTCCTGCAAAAAAAAAAAGTTCAATCAGTCAATTTCAACTTCTCGCGGGAAAAAAACTCTTGCAAAGTTGGAATTGATTGATTGAACTTTTTAGTCCCACCCAGTCTGCCGTTACCACCGCAGCCACACCCAGCCAATGGGCCACACCCACCTGGCACCCGACAATGCATAAGTGGGTTTTGGGTTACAGTTTGGGCACTCGGTCTCTAAAAGGTTCGCCATCACTGCCTTAGTAAGACCACACCTGGAATAATGCATCCAGTTTTGGCCACATCACAAAAAAGTTGTTGAGACTTTAGGAAAAAGTGCAAAGAAGAGCAACTAAGATGATTAAAGGCCTGGAGACCAAAACATTTGAAAAACAGTTGCAGAATTTGGATTTGGCTGGTCTAGAGAAAAGAAGGACTAGGGAGGACACGATATCAGTATTCCAGTATTTGAGAGATTGCCACAAAGAGGAGGGAGTCAACTTATTTTCCAAAGCAACAGGTCAGGACAAGAAACAATGGATGGAAACTAATCAGGGAGAGAAGCAACCTGGAATTAAGGAGAAACTTCCTAACAGTGAGGACAATTAACCAGTAGAACAGCTTGCTGTCAGAAGTTGTGGGTATTTCATCACTGGAGGTTTTTAAGAGACTGGGCAGTCACTTGTCTGAAATGTATAGGGCAGTGATAGCAAACCTTTTAGAGACCGAGTGCCCAAATTGCAACCCAAAACCCACTTATGTATCATCGGGTGCTGGGTGGGCGTGGCCCATTGGCTGGGTGTGGCCCATTGGCTGGGTGTGGCCCATTGGCTGGGCATGGCTGCAGTGGTAACGGCAGACTGGGTGGGACTAATAAGTTCAATCAATCAGTTCCAACTGTGCAAGCTCTTTTTTTCCCCACAAGAGGTTAAAATTGACTGATTGAACTTTTTTTTTTTTGCATATGGCGGCGGAGGCCTAAATCGAAAAGGTTTTATAAAACCCAGCTGAAGGCCTAGGACTAGGGCGATAGCACGTGTGCCCACAGAGAGTGCCATAGGTTCGCCACCACTGGTATAGGGTCTCCTGCTTGAGCAGGGGGGTTGGACTAGAACACCTCCAAAGTCCCTTCCAGCTCTATTCTGATTGAAGTTTAATACTTGGTTGATTACATAGACATGCCCATGTTGGTTTCTTGGAAAGTGTATTGAAATTGTTTGCTGTTGTTTTAGTCTGGAATGAGGTTTTTTTTTTAAAAAAAATTCCCAATAAGTGATTCTTGAGTATGCAATAAAGGCAGAAACAGTCATGTTTCAATTGTTCTCCCAAGCCAGTGGGAGGGGGGGGGGGAGAGAAAGGACCAAGTTTGAAAATGGGCTAAATCTAGATAGGGGTTGCAGAGAAAGAAAAATCACCCACCAAATCCTGAGAGGAAAGGTAGTTGAATAGAGATTCACAATGTTAACAGCTCCTCCATTAGGGTTGCCAGGTCTGCTTCCAAAAAAATAGCGGACAAGCGGGGGGGGGGGGG